TATAATTTTTATATTAATTTTAATTAAATTTTATATAGTAAAATTTAAGAAATAATAATTGAAAAAAGTTATTATTAATAAAATTTTTTTATAAAATATATATAATAAAAATTTTTATATTTAAATAAATTTCAATATTCTAATAACTTAATTAAATAAAAAAATACTATTTATTATTTAATTAATAGATTTATCTATTCATATATGATGTGATAATATAAAATAATATAATATAAATAATTAATATAATATAAATTTATATAAATAAATATTAATATATCATAATATAAAATTAAATATATTATTATATAAATTCTAATCTATATAATATTAAATGTAAGATTAGATCTTATAATTAGTAAAATTAATAATATATAAAATTAATTAAGTTAGTATATATAGCTAGATATAATAATATAAAGTCTCAAATTAATATATCATTAAGAAAAATAATTTAATATAGAGTATATTAATAAATTCTAAATATATTAATATATATTAATAAGATACTAACTAATAAATTAAAATAAAAATAATTTAGTCTTAATAATATGAAATTATAATAAGAATAATAAAAAAAAATTTAATTATAAATAAGAAAAATTTTAAAATAAAAACAAGATAGAATTATAATTAAATAAATTTAATAAAATTATAAAATAATAATAATAATTCTTATTAAATAAAATAAAAATTACTATTATTCTTAAATAAATATATATATTTCTTCAAATTTATTTTTATAATATGATCTAATTTTAGTCATTTCTTCTAATCTTTTTAGACTCAAGTTTGTTCATCATTCTCTCAAGATCCATTTTAATGTTGAGAAATTTCTTTCACAACTTGCTTGCGTAGGATTAATTGAAAAAATACTGTATGCCAACTCAGCTAAATATCGAGGCTGATTTTTGAAAGAACTTCACCAAATTTTTGGAGTATTTATATTTGAAATATACGAAAGGTCAAATGGTGATAATTGTGCTTCAAAATATCATAATTAGGCTATTAGCTCTTCACTTTCTGATCGAGTATGTCCAAGATTTTGCCAAAGCTCAAGAGAGATAAGAGTTATCTGTCAAAATCCACTATCTTTCAAGTCTTTTCCTAAAAATTAACCAAATATTAATATTTTATTTAATTATAATAATAAAATCAATCATTGTAATAGCAAACTAATCTCCAATTAAATTAATTTCTTATCTCTATATTGCGGATGAATATAATATGTCCAAATATAAAGAGAATGCAAAAATTCTTCATAATGTTAATTGAAAATATGGATAGCTGGAATCTTGAAGGTATTTGTTTGAGGTAGGTGATAAATTGCTACAGCCAACTTGATTAGATAGAGAAAATAATTGGCCAATATCACATCATTAGCTTCTAACATATGAATAATTTCCTTGATAGGTTGTCATACTGAATGTATCAACTGACATATAGTAAAAAAGTCTTCATCAATCAACAAGTTACTAATGTCTTCATTAATTGGATTATTATATTTGAAAAGTATCTAATAATAAAATTTATTTTGTTAATAATAATTTATAATATATTTTTTATTAATATATACTTATCTAATTAAATATAGGTCATGCATAAAGTATTGAATCAGTAGTCAAATATAAAGATCTCTAATGAGTTTTCACTCATATTTTTAGTCCACCACCCTTAATTTTCATATCCACAAATCCTTTAGTAAGTAATGAATGACTTGAATGGGAAGTTTTAAAAAAGTGATTGATTCTTCCACAATCATTAATTAATTTTTTCACGCTTTCCAATTGAACTAAATCAGCAGTAATAAGATTGATTGCATGTGCAGCATACCAGATATTCCAAATATGTGGATATATTTCTTGTGTTTTTTGTCACGCAACATTGCAATTTGAGATGGTATCTGTTACTACAGCTGCAAATTTTTCTAAACTAAGTTGTTCAATAATATCTGATATTTCATTGGCTAGAAATTTACCCATATGGAATTGATCTGAGTAATTTCATAAACTAACCAAGTATTCTTTTCGAGTATCTGTTGTAATAAGATAGTTGTAAATTGACTCTATTGTTGGTGTTGTCCATCCGTCTAAGGCTTTATTTATTAAAAAATAAATTAATATTATATTAATTTAGTTAAATATTTTTTTATAATACTAACCTAAAGTCAAATGATCTGCTTTATTCAAATTATCATTAATCATTCTATTTGCTCATGCTAATTCTTCATCTAATAACTGATTTGACAAAGTTATTCTTGATGGTGGATTGTATATAGGTTGGAATTCTTGGAATATATTTCAAATAAATGGATTATTAATAACATCAAAAGGAATTCCTGTCATTATTCAAGCTTTAATTATTTTTTGATCTAATCAATTAATAGTTGTATTTGACAATGGGCGGTCAGAGATATAATGAGATATTATTATTATTTGTGATGCTGAAGTTGGCAAAACAGATTTCTTTGACATTCGATGGTAATTTGGATCTCTTTTAGCTACTTTATCTTGCCAATATCGTGATATATCATCTGGAGAACTAGCATATTCATTAGCTAAATGTGCCTCTAACTTTACTGGTTTTCCTCTTGCCCAGTTTTTTTCATAATAATTGCATTTAGCTTCATAATATCCATTACTTCTTTCCACTCCTTTAATAAAGTAATCCCATACTTTAGAAAATTGCTGTGGTTTGACTTTAGTTCTTAATACATTATTTCGGTTGGATTTGGGATGCGTAATAGTTGAAATTTGTGAATTAGAAGTATCTGCTGTTATAATAGTTATATTGTCTTGATTTATTTTTGGACACGTAATAGATAAAATTTGTGAGTTGAAAGTATCTGTTACTGTAATAGTTGTTATTTCAATCTCTTTTTTTGATTCAGACTCAGAGATATCACTTGCTAGTCTGTATCTTTTTCGTGAACTTCCTTTATCTTTATCCATTGAACTAAACAATATTCTTTTATTAAGTTTTTTTATCTCGATTCAAAGTTAGAAAATTTTGAAAAATCATATGATATGTGTAAAATTTGAATATATTATACATCACATACTACAGCATATAGCACATTATATGGCATATATTATATTATACATCATACATATTTTATATGGCATACATCACTTTTGATATTTACGTTAAAAGTGACGTAAAGATGTGATATTTGCCGTGAAGATAGTTACCCTTCATATGAGAAATATTTGTAATATTAATAATCATATCATTCAAGTATATAACTATGAACTTTTCAATATATTCTTTAAATATTTTATTCATAAGTTTTTAAAAGATTGCTAGAGCATTTGTAAATCCAAATGACATTATATTAAAATAATATAATCCTTTATTGATAATAAATATTATTTTTTTCCTATTTCTTGAATGCATTTCTACTTGCCAGAATTCACTAGCAAGATTTATGATGGTAAAGTATTTAGCATTTTTAAAAGATTTTAGAAATTCATCAATTTATGAAAGAGAGTATCAGTCTTTCTTGATAACTTCATTTAGTTTTCTGTAATCCACACATAATCAGATTTTTCCATTCTTTTTCCTTACTATTACTATTGATACTGATCAAAAACTATTAGAAGAAGATATAATTCCATTATCCAACATCTTTTTAATCTCTTCTTTTAAAAAGGTATTTTTCATGAGTGATTTTTAATGATATGACTGAAGAGTGATAGGTCTTTCTTCTTTCAAATATATTTCATGTTGGAATATATTTGTTCTATCAGGCTGGATTGTATTGAAAAGATCTTTATATAAATTCAGAACTTGATGAAAATGTTATTATTATTCTGAATCCAAATCTGATTTAATCATAGTTGGAATGATATTTAATGATGATTAAGATAGTATCTCTAACTATCTATATATGTCTTGTTCTTTTTTACATTGGACACAATTATTTTTTCTTTCACAATGAATACAGATATTATAGTTCTCTAATTTTTCTTGACAAATTCTTTTTTTTTCTTTCAATTCAATAATTTTATTATTAATTCTTATAAGATTTTCTTGTACTTTCACTTTCAATACAAGTTGCTCACTTTACTTTTCATATACTGTATATAGAGACTGGTCAACTAGTTCTTCTTCTTTATATTCAAACTTATCATTTTCATTCTTAAGAACAGGATTCTCAAGTTCTCTTTCAAGATTAATTAATTTCATAATTGATTTCTGTTAAGTGCAGGTAACTGGAATAATTATAGACTCTTCTTCAACTTCAAAACTTAAGAGTTCTTCATCTTAATTCAAAATAGCTTTGGACTGCTTTGTCTATTAGTTATCAAGTAATAAATTATATTCCATCTTTTTTATAACTAGAATATCAATTTGTTGACTCAGATCTCTAATTTTTATTTTTAATTCTTCTACTTCTCCTAGTAGTCATTCAGACTTTCTATTTATATCTATAAGACTGATATTAAAAGACTTATCAATCTTTCTTTTTACTTATTTCAAAAATCTGATTAACATGATATTACTAACTGATTCACTGTCAATTATTATTCTGATAAGTTAATCTTCTACTTTTCCTTTATAATGAATTGCATCTATCACTTTTCTATTCTTTTTTTCTAGATTTTTATTTTCTTTTATAGTTTCAATTAGTAATTGTTGTAAAAATGTTATTGAAGATTTTTGAGATTGGCTCATATTCTGATCTTCTTTAGATACAGATTCTAGTTTAAATGCAGAGTATTACTATTATTAGTAATAGTAATATTAGTAGGTGAGGATGTAATGGACTATTCATATAGGAGTTGTTATAGTTATTATAGTAAAAGATTATTATCTGGGACTGGAATGATATTAGCTTCAAGATTGGCTAATTGTCTAGTATTCATATTTCTTTCTGTATAGCTATTAATATAATATCTTATTTTATTACATTTAAAATACCTGATATTTAAGATATTATTATTATTATTATTATTACTTGTATTTTTCTTTGATAATTTACAATCATGGGCTATATGACTATTTTTATCACAATTATAGCAAGTCTTATTCTGATTAGGATGATTATTAAAATTTCAATTATTCTAAGTCAATAACTTCTTTACTTATTCTGTGAGATTAGCTATAACTTTACTCATATCATTTGTTAGACTTGAAATGAAAAAGAGAATGTCAAGATTTTGTAACATTAGTGAAATAAAGTTAAAAGGGTTCTGATAGATTTGTTTGTAGCTAGATTTAATATTAATTACTTCTGTGATTACTATATTTAGAGTGTTTGGATTAGATTTATTCACATAAAAGATAATTTCTGGCTTTAAGTCTTTTACAAATTGCTTGATATAGTAAGTGACAGAATATATACTTATTGAATTAATCTTTCAGAATAGCATATAAATATTCTTAGCATAAGAAGTTACATCTTTATTTGTTTTTTGCATTCTCAATCTTAATTATTATTGTCATGCCAAGACTTGAGTATTAGTTCTAAATTATGTGATAAATATTTAGTAAAATAAATTATTATCATTGTTACTATTTCAGCTAATAAATCAATCATTATTTGTGAGTTTACTTTACTAATATCAAGTTGAGGTAATTCCTCTCAAATAGATAGGTATTATTTCTATTTTTCTTGGATTTGTTATATTATTTACATTTGCTACATGAGTAAATTCTTTAATCTAATTCATAAGATCTTCATGTGTTCCATCACTGTAAAAAGGAAGTGATACTATTGTTAGCTTAACTTATCTGTTTTGTTGATTCTGTATTACTTGCACAAGAGGTAAAAGTGCTTGGGCTAAAGTTTATACAGCTTGATCTGCTATTTCTTCTTCTTGATTTCTTTGAGGTTATAATAGAAATGAATTTAAAAGAATAGAAGGATGAACTTCTTCTTCTTCTGAAGACTCTTCTGTTATATTTCTTGACTGAACTGGAGCTCTTCTTCTGTATAGAAAATTAGTAAAGAATATATTAGGAGTTGAGACTGAAGTAGATGATGATGAGACTGATGTAGAGATTTTGACTGGAGTATTAACTGAAGTACTAGATCTTGATTTCTGAGTATAGTATGTTCTTTGTTAATTAAATATAATAATTTTCTCATGTAAATTATGGATAATATTAGCAATCTCAGTTGCAGTGTGAGTTGAATACTTTTGAAATCAAAGTTATATTTAATATTTACTTGTTGATACTTTTTCTCTTGATATATTAGTGACAAATAAATTATAGATCAATTGATGTAAATCTTTTTCTTGCTATTTGGATAGTTGAGATAGATCAAAAAGATTGATTAATTTTTGAAGTTATCTTTCTATTTCATAATTAGTTGATTTTGTTAGGTCCAGTTTGAATTACTTTTGTGATTAACAAATTTATTTCTGGTTTTATCTTTACAGAGGAGGTATCAAAAAGACTATTACCATTTTAAAATTATATATATATAATTATTTTAAAATGATAATAGTGATTATATTTATGATAGTTATTTACTTTTATAGCTTCAAGAGATTATACAACTAATTATTCTTTTAATAAGATGATATATGTGAAATTTACTTCTGACAAAATATAATTATCTTCTCAATAAGATAATTTATATATATTTTACTTATAATTAAAATATAATTATCTTTTTAATAAGATAATATACGTGAGTTTTATTTTTAATCAAAATACTTTTTTAATAGAGTAAGAAGAAAATAAGATAAGATATAAGATAAAATATGTGTATTTATTAAAGAAAAATACTAATTAATTACTTTTAACTTAGTAGTAATTACTTCTATCAAACTTAATTATTCTTCTTGATCACTTTTTAACTCTCTATATATAATATTTTTCTTATTATACTAATTACAAATTATTCTAACATGATATTTCATTTAATTTAATCAAGAACAAATAAAATTTAAAAAGAATTATCATAAAGAATATTAAATATATAATAATAAAGAATTTATGATAATAAAAAATTTAAAATTAACAAAATATTAAGTTATTCAAAACTAAAGTAAAAAATGAAAAAAAATTAATAATAATTAATTAGGAGATTATTAATTTAATAAAACTTTAAATTAAGTGTGATATATATGATTAAATTAATAAAAGAATAAGACTAAATATAGATAATAATATAAATTAAAAATAAAATTAATTATTAATAAAATTAATTAATATAAATCACTTATTTATCTGATTTAGTAGTGATCAGTAATTATTGCATCACATGTTATAGCTGTGTCATATACTGTGCTATATTTACTGTATCACATGAATAGATAATTAATTATAATATTTAAATATTATATAAAAGCTTAAGCAAGATTTAAAATAAAAAAATAAAAAAGACTTGAAGAAAAAAGTATTATTAAAGAATATATTAAATTTGAATAATTATTAATAATAATTTCATATTTGAATTTATGAAATAATATTTATAATTATATCAAGTTTAAAACTACTTATACAAAAAGAAGAAAAATAATAATTAAAATTTGTATAATTAAATATCTGTATAAAATATTAAAAGAAAAATATAATATTTATCTTTTATATTAGTATTTATTTATATATTTGAAATTATAATATAAATATACTTTTACTACTTATTATTATTATAAACTATACTCTGAAAGATAGATTTTATCACAAATATAGTCTATAATAAGTTTTGAGAATGAAGACTGAATTATTTATAAAGATTAAGAAGATAATAATTATTCTAAAGATTTTCAAGTATCAATACTTATGAGTATTATATTAACACAAGATAAAAATAAAATAAATAAAAATAAAGTTATAATTATGAAAACTAAACTAAAAATAGATACTAAAAACTAAAATAACAAATACTATAACTAAAATAAAAGATTTAGTATGCTAACTAAACTCTCTAATAGTATCTTTTCAACTGTTAGGCAAATAAAGAGTATATATCAAAAATATATAAGAAAGCTTA